AGCGATGGAAACATTTCTCCTAATGTCGTCCTCTTTCTTTTGGAAGTCTAGAACGCTGGACTAGAACGCGTTTTAGCTGCAATGTAGATCAGAATATTGAAAGTAAACAAAAATAGATCTAATTTGCTGGGATTTCAAAATGAACACACTATGAGAAACAGCGAGAATGTATGGAAATATATAGGTGAAGGGGTGATTACATATGTGGACGTCTGATTACAGAACAGCACAATCACTGCAGAATCTTGCAGTGGAACAGGAAAGCTCTGGCCAGGGCAGGACTGCTACTTAGGCTAACTACTTCCTGTCAAGAGAGATTAGAGAGCAGGACGATCACACAGGCTGCCAGGCCATTTCACACTTCATAATGCCAAGCCTTTAGGATGGCTCCACAGGAACGGTTTATTATGGCAAGATTATGAGCAGAGGGAAAGTGGACTTGGCCAAAAAATACTCCTCTCCACTGATGTGTTTTTTGTGATTGAAGGAGAAGATGTAAGAGCTGTTAAGTTTTTCATCTTACTCTCTTCAGAATCATGTCCCTCAAAAAAAAGCCCACCATTAACACACTGGGGGCAGGAAGGCAGGAATGAAGGGAAGGCAGAAGGGAGAACGCGTGCAAAAAAAAAATCCAAGAGGAAGTTCGGCATCCTGTGTTGAATCGTGTCTGTTTCCTAATGAAATCTGCGCTCCATTGTCAAAATCGAAACCATCTCCCTGCAGTCACCACAACTTCAGCAGATGACCTCTTAACATAAAAAACACAGAATTCAAATAGTTGGCAAAAAGGAGTGAAAATGTGAAAACAGGAAACATTAAACTTCTAAGTCTTACTTAATTGAACATTAAAACAATAACTGGGTTTTAGTTTCCTGATTTTTTGTCAGGGGTTCTGAACAGAGGGGTAGAAATGAAAAAAATAAAAGTACAGTTCCTGCATGATTCAATGTAAAAATTGGAATAAATGAGGGATGATGAAATTCAATATGTGGGTCATCTCAAATGAAATTTTTCTCTGACATGCAGGGAAAGTTCTGTGGCTAACTGGTGCTACCGAGCCAAAAAACTTCAGGCCCCTCACTGGAAACAAGCACATGGACTATCAGAGTCAGACCAGAGCAATTAGTTTGCTCATGTTCTATTTAAAGAACAATGAACAGTCACTGTATATGAATCTGGTTCTGAAATCATGACAAAGTGAACAATGTGAACTTTCCTATTGATAGTAAGGTCTTGCAATGTGGCTGGAGCAGAATATGATGTCAAAATACCAAGCCGTGGCTGCCAATGCCTCAAAGAAGTGAAACTAAATCATAAAAATAGTTTCCACAATATATATTTAGAAGAAGAAGGACTAATAAAAGAGAGAAAGCAGGAGAAAGGAAAAGAGGGAGGGCTGAAGGGGAGAGAGAGNTAGTTTCCACAATATATATTTAGAAGAAGAAGGACTAATAAAAGAGAGAAAGCAGGAGAAAGGAAAAGAGGGAGGGCTGAAGGGGAGAGAGAGAGAGAGAGAGAGAGAGAGAGAGAGAGAGAGAGAGAGAGAGAGAGAGAGAGAGAGTGGGGGGTGTGTGTGAAGTAGTCATCAGAGAATCCAGCAGTGATGGCAGTGACCAGAGAACAACATGCCAAACCCTGGAAGTCATTTCCTGCTTCGTCGAAGACTTTTATGGAATTCTAGCAGCATGGCTAACGTCACAACGAAAGAGAGGGACCGAGGAGAAAAGAGGAAGCGCAGGGCAGCCCTCGCTCCACACGCCTCACTCCTCCCCCTCATTCGCTTCCCTCCCTTTTTTCTCCTCCATCCCATCCCTCTCCCCTCAGCTGTGTTCGTGAGGATAAGCAGAGCCTGCAGGAAAGCAACTGAAATATCAGTCTCACCCCATTTCGTAACACGCTACTCATTCCAAGATTGCCTCTTCTACAGTTTTCACAATTAGCTAAAATCCCTTATGCTCGTCCATAGGCTAAACAGCGTCCCTGACATTTAGCCCAGGCTGCACTTAAAAAGCACTTTTCCACCTGAAGCGTTTGCAAAGTGCAGATGTATTTGTGTGAAACAGACACTCCAAACACTTACGGCAAGCCAAGGTCCTAAAAGCTATGTAACTTGGGGAAAAAAAACTTAAAATCCAATAAAACTTCCGCTAGCTAATGTTGTATGTGATTTATTTGCTTTCCCTCCGTAATGGAGCAATGTTTGCCATCAGAGAGGGCGGCAGAGCTTTTAGAAAACATCAACTGAGGCAGAAAAAGCAACGATGATGGAAACCAGCAGAGGGATGAAATGATTACAGGAGCTGGGGACCAGAGGGTGGTCAATCAGTTTGCTTTAAATACTCCCCTTCAAGGGTTTGCAGGGGAAATGGAGGCATCATTCACTGCTGTGATCAATAGCTAAGTGCCTTCCTGGCATTTGTCTATTTAATCCATTATCGAAGGCCATCTGAGCCTGCGATGTGGACAGGAGACATGCGGCTCACAGGAAGAGCCGAATGATGGAAGCAGGATACATGTGGAGGAGACACACCCACCGACCCACACAGCCATGTTCACATGTGGAAACACGTGCACAAATACTACTAATGAGAACACTGGTTGTCGTGCAGCTGATGTCAACACACATCCGGAGAGCTACAGTGTACAGACAGAAATCTTCACTGGACAAAGAAAAGTAACCAGGAACAAATGTTCACCCTAGAACAAATATGGTTGTGTCAGCCAATTTCTGAACACAAGAGGTCCTTCATTTTGAAGTGTAAGAGACTGAGACACGGAAAGAGAGGTGGCTGGGAAGGACAGAGAGAGATTTGTCATTGCACAAAGATGTCCTTTCGATGTGAGAGTGACGCACTGCCTGCCAAAACTCAGCGGTATCTACGTGACCCTTCTCACAGCACTGTGGAGGTGTATACAAGTGCATTTGCTTATACGTTATACATAGATACACAGTATCTATGTATAACTACCACATCTGGATATGTGCAGAAACAAGGTGTTGAGGACAAATTGTGAAGTGTACTTCTTTTTAACTTGTACATTTTAACTTTCACAAATTGCTTTATCTCAACTTACAGTTTGTACATGAAAGAAAAATCACATTTAAGATGTTGCGGTATTTCTTTGGGACTATGAAAAACACGTCTGCACTGCCTGATCAAGCACAAATGATTGCATCTCACACCAACAGTGTGTAGTAACGAGCTGCGTGTGGCCATGTGGAAAACCCATGTTGTGGGCAGGTTAATGATTACAATGCAATAACAACCTGTTGACCCAGAGTAGCAGGGACATGGCAGGGAAATTAAATGTCCCTTTGTGAAAACAGTCAATGGATTAAAGAACACACGTTGATATTCACAGAGCTGTTCATATTGCTCCATGAGCAGTAAGAGGCTCTATAACATGGTGGGGGCAGTTTGATGATGCAGATGGAAATATGTTTAAGAATAGTAACCCAGGCAGGCTGAAGGTTTAGTATTGTTTTGATAGGAGAGCAGCTCAAGCCACTGTGCACACCCAAGTCTTATTATTTCACTCAGGCACATACAAGACAACAACAAACCCTGGTAAACAAATCAAAAATATTTTCAGTGAGCATGAGAGGAAATCAAACCACCAGAATCCTGAGGAGATAAAAAAAGGAAGTCATCAGCAAAATAGCTGCATCCTTAAGACAAGGAAAACTAGATACTATGAATAGTGACAACAAAAGAACCCAACAGAACTTGACAAAACTGCAATACAATGAATACAACTTCAAACTCATGTGGGCAATTTTCTTTTAGCTGTTATAAAAGTCACTGCACTGTTGTCCCTTTTGTTTCCGACTGTAATGACAGACCAACCAATGTCACAAGACTTTCCCCTCAACTCAGTAAAGGTTTCACGTTCAGGAAAGTCATACCCTTCATAAAGACCTCAACACACAACGTGAGTACACCTCAAACAACGGATAAGGCCGGGCCTTGAGTGGAGTCGGGGAGGACCAACAAATTCATGACGTCCCACTTCCGGCAGTCAACACTGCACTCGCCTCACATAGATGCTGCTCAGCACAGACGACCACAGAGAACAAAGACCTCAATTATGTGGAGGCTCTAACAGGAGAGCTAAAAACGGGACCATGGGCAGGGAATAAAACCTTGGGAGCGCTGCAGGAATGCCGAGCATTCGAGCGCCAACGACACACACAACACACTGTCACTCCCGAATTGCACTGCCGCCACCAGCACTGACCTTTCTCCAGCCTGCATGAAACAGGACAGTGTTCAAGTGACTGGAACAGAGGACTCTTATGCTTACTTGTACCCAAACTTGTCAAGTGCATGGCTGCAGAACAGTGCATGATATGGTGGGGGGAGGGCAGTGTCTATGGCCTCTTTATACCTTGGGTAACTGACCCATATTCACCGCAGGGTAACAAACAGGAACATTAACCTCAGTTGGACCCTGTTCCAAGCAACACATATGAAAGACGACAAAACTCAACACTCGTATGTTCAATAAAAAATCCTGCACAGCTATAAAAGTGGCAAACAACAGGTTCCCGTTCTTCTTCTTAGACAACATGTCTTACACACAAACAGATCCTCAGCCTGTGATTTCGTACATTTTCCCTCCGTGTCCCAGACATAATTCTTACTTTTGAGTTCCGAGCCATGGGAAAACAGGTCTGTTTTTCACTTTGCCAGTTTTCAGAAACAGTTTTATAGTTTCTCACAGAAGAGAGCCGCTTGCTTAGTGGAATCTCACGTCTCAGAATGGTAACTATTCGCAAAAAGGTATTTATCTCCCAAGAAATATGAACAGATAACACAAGTCAGCCACTGGCACACACAGAAACTTCTAATGGAGCACGGTGCAGGGTGAGAGGTCAAAGGCAAAAGCTGCCAACTGCCAACCTGACCCCATTTCCACTTTATTCTTAAATCTGCAGACTCATGCTCATTTATCTTCAAGCATGTGAAACTTCAGATAAGAAGCTTTGAAAGCATTACCTAGTTTCTCCACAAGTTTCAGCATGACTCCGCCGATGTGGATTTCCCCAGTGACCCTCAGCGACACATCCCGGTGGAGGTCGGTGACATGCATCTTCAGTTCCCACGTCCCGTCGGCATAGCAGCCATCAGGCATCCGGATCCCGTCCAGCGCCATCCTGCCGAACAAACACACAGTCCGGAGAGAAAAGGTCCAGTTAAAGTTCTGTCCCACTGGAGTGTAAAGAAACATTTTTGACTCTCTGGAGAGGAATAAATGTGATGAGAAGGCCTGGCCTTCATGGAAAGGAATTGTACTGTAGATATTTCAAACAGACACTAGGCTGATATCTCTAAATTGTTATATGCAGGGGTGGAACTCAGCACACATTTTTTGCATAAATACAGTTCTAATCGTGAATATTTTCATTGCAAGAGCTACCTCTCCAGTACATTTGTGGGATTTTGTACATTTACTTCACTGCCCTAACAGCTGTGGTTCGTAGTTACTTTGCAAATTAAGAGTTTACATCATCACTCTTGCAAGTTTCACCAGCTTTATGGAAGTACGACACAAAATCTCTGCAGTGTAGCAGGCCACTGTTGGAAAGGCTGCAAGTCAAACAGTTGTGCGTCAATGTGACAGAGTTCCTTCACTTCTCAGACATGAAAAACACTGGATAGACAAAAAAGAACAATTACGATTTCCATTTGGTTATTGAATCTATAGACCACATTCAACTGATTAAATGTACATGTGGTTATATACCAATATTATTGTATACATTTATTTTCTCCTTATATTCTCCACTTGTGAAACGTTCCATCCTTCATTAAAAGTCATTTCACTCTTGATTCAGTACAATTCGGTTTATTTGTCTCATTCTGATTATGACATTGAAGAAGTTTCTTGACATTAAAGTCACTGTCTATGTCAAAACCCCAAAATGTCCTTTTGGTGATTGAATCCATCGACCATATTTAATTGATTTTCCATGTACATGTTGTTATAGACGAACATTATTGTATGAATTGATCTTTTACGTATGTTCTCCAGCTCTGACAGGAGTCAGAATTCATTGAGGGTAATTTTCCTCCGCTCTGACATCTTTACTTCTTCATTGTATTGAGGTGTCAGAGCAGGACACTGCTGTGGAAACAGGCTACACAAGGGAACTTAGCTCCATCGTGAGCATTTGACTCTGGGACGTGATTTAGAGGAAGATGGAGGAGAACAAACCCTGATAGAAAAAAAACCCCACTGACACTGAATCCCTGCGTGTGTTTCCTGAGAATAAGACAAACAAGACGTGAAGTCACTGGAAAAGAAAAGTTGCTTTGTAGCCTTAGCTGTCATCCTGTGATTTGAATGGAGGCTAACGCGGATCATCCATTAAAAACAGCTAATAATCGATCAACGGGACCGAACAAAGGCTGCAGCCCCGCGAGGACAACTTTCAACCGGGTGTTTCTCAGCGTTTCCCTCCGCTAACGTCCCGGTTCACCTGTTCGAAGTAACGGTAAAGGCCTCCGAGACAAATAGACCCGAGGGCGACTCATTATGTAAGCACAGCCCGGACAACGACCGCACTCCCCGGCTTACATGCACACGCTCACCTCGGTGTTTCTGTTTGGTTTTCTGAAGCCACAGCACCGGAGGAAAAGTGCGTCCGAAGGAAAACCAGCCGCTAAAATGTCGGAAAAGTTCTACGTGGAAACGAGTTGAAGCCGTAAAGCGACGAAGAAAGAGGGAGAATCGACGTTTCCATATTTCATAGCGGCGGAGCAACACTGGAGTGTGTGTGTGTGAGTGTGTGTGTGTG